CCCCCCCCCCCATTTATTAAAGACATCACTTTGTGACACTGTTCATCTCCATAAAATATGCTAATTGTAAGCAAACAGGTTTTTGGAAATCCCCTTGTTGGTGCAAAAACACTATTTTATATTTGTCCAACTTCATAGATTCAGGTAAAGAAATGGGAACAAAATCTGCTTTTGTGACAGGCTGACAGTCTCAAAGCGTACAAAGACAGAATTTAAAATTAGTTTTTTGTCAAGATGTCCGTTATTTGTAAACAAGACTAGTTTCAGCCTTTAAATTAGGTGCCATTTTTATACATGAATGATTTATGTAAAATACTGATCTGAAAATGGTCAAGAACAAGGACTGGACTGAAAATAATGAGTGAATTTCACAGAGTGAAAAAGCAACCAATGTCCAAATGAAAAACTTATATAAGAAAGTCTGTCTCCTTGGAAACAAAATATAAAAGATATGATTGGTGGGTTGAAACTTTTGCATGGCACAGAACAATTAGAAAAGCAGAAGAGAGCTACTTTAATGATAAAGTTGTTTAGGTTGTTCTTTTGAAAATAAACTCATGAATAAAATCATTCAGAGTATCAAAGACAGCAATAAATCAAACTTTTATTTCTCCATATAGAAAAGAATTAAGTTAAATAGAGAAACAGTCCACTGAAATTGCGGCATCTCATTTTCAACCAATGGTCCTTTGTACATTAATCTTTGTCCCAAAATGAAAAAAAAAAAAAAGATGTAACAAAGTGTAAATACCGTATTCACAGTAATAAATATTGAAAACAAAATCTTTTATACATTGACATTATATATATATTTGTGTAAATATATATAGATATAGATATAATCATATACAGTAAAAAGTTATTTTCAAGTTTATCAAACATAAAATATTAAAATAAAAATGGCCAAAAACAGAATAATGATTGCATTTCTCTTTCCATTCCCAAGGCATCTGTAACCATGGCCATTCAGAATCTGTAATAAATAAAATGTGAATTTATCTAAAGATTGTAGTCCATCACTGTAAATTAAAAAAAAATATATAGTGCAAGTTCTTTTTTTCTTAGGCGTAAATTAATCTTGCAAATTTCAAACTAATCCGAACGGAATGACAACAATGACACAGAGGGTGTTGAGGACAACATCGAGTCTCTGACTTCTGTCAGTTCTGCACCACAACTTTCTTTGTAGTCTTGGCAGCAAAAAACAAAAAATAAAAAACATAAGGATTTCACATGTATGAATCCATAGCAGATATTCAATAAACTTATTTGGCAAATAGAGCCCAAACAAGAAAGAAGAAAGAGCTCCACGAGCTCCTTACACTCAGCTCTGTCAGGATTTCCAAAAAAAAAGAAAGAAAAGGAAATGCATAGAAATTAATTACCAGTAGCAAGAACTAACTTAAGGGTTGTTTACTGTCATGCAGCATTTCTGAGACGCAAAGCAAGGCAGATATTGTGGATGTGAGTGTCGATCAAAGCATTGGATAAATGTATACTCTGCCTGTGCTTGCACATTTCCCTGGCTTCCTTTCCCCCTCAGCAGTAAGGAACGGGGGAGGGGGGAGAGCTCCCATTTCCTGTTTGTCTCCAGCCTCCTGTTAAAAGTCAGAATAAGGTCTGACTTCATCTCCACGCAAGCGCGCAGGGGTATATGTGTGCGTGCAAGTGTCTGTTTGTGTTTGTGTGCTTGCTTATCCTCAAACCTCTGCACCCAACTCAATGACCCCAGTCTCAATAATGGGCACTAGCTTATCTTCCACCTGTACCAGCAGGATGGTTTTGTCTATATGGGAGCGATTGGCTGGGTCTCGGCTACAAGGCACCCACCGGTGAATCACCTGCAGGGGACAATAGAAGAAACATCCAATAAAATCTAGGAAGCATTTATGACAGAACAAGTAGGTCAGAAAGGGTGTTACATGGCAAAACCATACGGCTTGTGCAAGCATGATAATAATTGCTAAATCACATTTATAGCACCAAAGGTGAGTGGGTGTGTAAAGTGAGTGTATGAGGCAAACTATAGCAACATATTTACATGACCTAGAGTTTACTTCATCTGTGTGTGAAGATGAGTAAAGGGAAACGTGCTGATTCGGTAACATCTGTGAGAACACACTTACATGCCCTTCCATGCCCTCTAAAGGGCTCCAGTCTCTCCAGCAGGTCCTTCCTGCTCTCAGTCTCATGGTTTCGTCTGGCCACTGCAGCTCTTTCCGCTTCGATAAGTTAATGTTCTCCAGCACCAGACTCACATCCACAATCTGAGGTGAAGACACGGACCGACAGTGTGTAAAAACTTATGTAACCACAAAGGAACTGAGGGCTTTTACTAGAAAGAAATCACTGACACTGCACGCACAAACAAACACACAGAGGATAAAGTGGAGAACAATAAAAAATAAAAATAGTTATATCAGGACTTTTTTTGCTGCTGTGGATACACAGAACAGAGTATTTACAAACCTGCACTCTGTAGGAGATGTCATCTCTCCGTACTGTGGAGACAGTGGGGTTGTGTTGCTGTAGGTGTTGATGATGGTGATGGTGCTGGCTGAGGGGGTCTGTCACGGTGTTGCAGAGGCCATCGTTGCCCAGTAGGCCTACCAGTGTGTGGCGTTTGCAGGGAGGTATGCTGTGGCTGGAGAGGGAGGCCGAAGGGCCAGCGGGATCAGAGGTGGAGCCCAGCCGGAGCTGCAGAGATGTAGGGAGCGTGCGTAGAGACAGCTGGCTGGTAGAGGAACGTCGACAGGGCTCCAGGCCGGTGGTGGAGGTGCGAAGCGAGGAGTGGCGGCTGCTGCCATAGCGGTATGATGACGAATGGCTCGCCACGGAGGCCCGGGCGGGAGAGTGGCGCACCAAACCCGACTGAACCGACTGGGAACTTTGACTGGTGCCTGGACACAAAGGGGAGAATTGGTGTTAGTTTTCATGCTGTGCTGTTAAAGGCAAAATGTGACAGAGGAGCAGTAGTTCTCACCCAGAGTGTGTGGCTGGTATGAGTGAGGAGGGGGAGGTCCTGAGGTGCCCCCCTGAGATATTGAGCTCTGCTGAGAGTCGCCACCTGTCCCATTCCCACTGCCGCAGGACAAACCCCCTGCATCTGAATCCTCGATATTTCCGCCACTATTACAGCCTGCACCACAACCTTTCCGTAATCTGACAAGAGAAATCTTCATATTAATCTCAACGCAGACCCAAAATATACAGAAAAAAATACTCAACAGAGAAGAACAACACAATAGGAAATCAAGCAAACCTGTGCCAGGTGCTGACAATAAAGTTGCGGATGTTTCCCATGCTGATGGGACCTCCCAGGATGTGTCCGAGCTGCGGGTGCGAGTTGCAGTAGGAGGTTGTCAGCGGGGATACGTAGATTGGATATCCAATAGGCTGGTCGCAAGAAGAGTTGATCATGTTACGCAGAGCCTGCTTGGCGTTCTGGATGCTCCCACGCTCTGGATTTCTATTTCTCAGGAACACCAACTCCTGCTGCTGCCCTGCCCACAGTCCTCGGACACATTCTTTATTTACCTGCAGCAAAATTCACAAGTTTGCATTAAATAACCTGGCTTAGAGTGAGTATCATTAAACCGTTCTGTGCAGTCTGTTGACTCTGTTGCAGACCCACCTTGATAACCCGGAAGCTGAGGTATCGCCGATTGAGCATTATAATTTTATACTCGTTGGTTCCTTCGTCCAGGACGTGGCGCAGAGCTAGGAGCGACGGGGCGTTTGACAGCACGGCACTCCTCCAGGCAGGGTCCCCCTCGTGAGCGATGACCAGGTTCTGCTGGTGAGAGGAGATGGCCTCGAAAAGAACTGCTGGCTCATCGTACTCGTCGGGGGACGTGAAGTGGTCCTGAGGGGAAAAAAAAAAGTTGAGAAGATAAAG